ATTTTGAATTCAAATCTTTTTGTTTTTCTAATTATAGTTAAATCTAGGTAGTTTATTGTATTGTTTTGTTCCAGTTCTATTGTAAATTGAATATTTTGATTTATGTTGTTAAATTCGTTAAGTACTTGTTGAATATTTGTCTTTTCCGTATTGTAAATTATTAATATGTCATCTACGTATCTGCTATAGTATTGGATATGGTTTTTATTTAAAATGTTTATTATATTATTATGTTCTAAGTATTGGAGGAATATTTCAGATAATATGCTAGACGTGGGGGCACCCATAGGTAGTCCAGTATTTTGTTGCCAGTATTTGTCATTAAATTGAAAATAATAAAATAAACAATATGACGCAATTACACTATCTTATGAATGACTGTCAAGTTATTTATCTTCTTTTTTATATATTTTATTTTATATTACAGAAATGTCTGACCGTGAAATGTGGCGATTTTTGAAGGGGAAACATCCAGACAATTCTGAAGAGGCAAGTGATGAAGAATTGCTATCTCCTGACAAATTTCACTGCACTAGTGCAAAAACAGGCACAAGAAAGGTTCGTCTTTACAATGAAAGTTTCTTATCAATAAGTCGATGTATCGATGACATGTCACATGACGCTGAAGAGGTTTTGCGTGATAAACTGAAAAATAGCAGTTTTTCTATCCAGGTTGATGGATCAACATATCTTACCAATAAATGTCACATTGTAGCTTTTGTAAGATTTGTCAATGAGGGTGAAATTCAAGAAAACTTTTTCTGTTTCAAAGAATTGCCTGAGACAAACAAAGGAATAGATATATTTAATATTTTGTCCTCATATCTGGAAACAAAAGGTCCCTCCTAATAGAACTATCTATGTTGGCATCTGTACTGATGGTGCCCCATCCATGGTTGGCTCCATAAGAGGTTATGTTTCTCACGTAAAACAAGAAAATGCTGATGTTGTCTCAACACACTGCTTTCTTCACAGAGAGTTGCTGATTTCAAAATCTCTTGGAGATGAATTGAAAAAAGTTTTTGATGATGCTACAAAAATGGTTAACTTTATTAAACAAAGACCAGTTCACTCCAGAATGTTTAAAAAGCTGTGTGAAAACCTGGACAAAGAGCACATAAATCTCTTGCTACATACAGAAATCTGGTGGCTGAGTAGAGGAAGAGTTCTAAATAGGGTGTTTGAGCTAAAAGATGAACTGCAGTAATACTTTCAAGAAAGCAATAAGCAAGATTTTGCCAAGTGCATTGATGACGAAAAATGGTTGCAGAGGCTAGCCTACTTGGCAGACATTTTTCATCACATGAATCAGCTGAGCAAGTCACTGCAAGGCCCTGGAGAAAATATATTGACTTCAAGTGACAAGATTCTTGGATTTAAAAGAAGACTGAATCTTTGAATAAATCATGTTGCAAAAGGGAATCTTGAGATGTTTCAGTTACTGGTGGGGCTTAAAAGTAAAGAAGGATATTAGCAAATTTCAAGTCTTATTGAAACCCACCTGGAAGAACTGTTGATCAAAATCAAACATTATTATCCTTCCCTTTCAACACAAGTGTATGATTGGGTGAGGGATCCACACTCTGAATCTTCTGTTCATCTTGAAAACTTGACTTTAAGAGAAGAGGAAGAACTTTGCGGGCTGCAATCTGATCATACACTCAAGATGAGATTTACTGACCTATCCCTGGACAAGTTCTGGATTTCTGTGAAAGAAGAGTATCCTGCCATTCATAGGAAAGCAATAAATATATTGCTGCAGTTTTCAACCTCTTACATGTGTGAGCAAGCTTTTTCTTATTTAACAAGTATCAAGAACAAAGACAGAAATCATCTCCTTTCAGCTGAAGATGAAATCCATGTGTGTTTATCTAAAGTTCGACCCTGAATTAAGTATTTGTGTACCAAAAGACAAGCACAGGTTTCACAATAGAAAAGTAAATTTTATTATCTAAATTGGCTTCAAAAATAACATTTCCTTTAACATATATTTGTTCATATGGCATTTTACCTTGATTTATCTTATGCTTTTTCAACATTGTCAATAAACGATTTAGTTATTGTAGTAGTTATTATCTGTTTTCGTTCTGTTTATATGTGTTATATACGATATTGGTTATGTTATTTTTTGTGTTTACAGATATGGGGGTTAATTTTTTGTGTGAATGAAAACCTCTGTATAAGGTCTCTTGAACAGGCAGTTTGATTTCAGTTTTTTTTCCCCAATAAACTCGAGAAACACGTAAGTTATTTTTTGCTTAAACCAGCTATCAGAAAAAATATATTATGTTTTCCTTATGAACTTTAGGTTTATAGAAGAGAAAGAAAGATATTAATAATGATATATAATAATTTTTATGTAGGGGTTCCCTGAGACATGATTATTATTTCAAGGGTTCTGCAAGGGTAAAAAATGTTGAGAAACGCTGATCTAATGGGACCTCCAATAAAAGGTTGATCCTCACCAGAATTCGATGGCAGAATTTGGAGAATAAGATCACTCTTCAATAAACTGTATGACACCTATGCTAAATTTTATAATCCATTTAAACATTTAGCTGTAGATGAAATCATTGTGCAGTTCAAAGGGAAAGTTATTTTGAAGCAATACATTCTTAAAAAGAACAAACGCTTTGGCAGAAAAATTCACAAACTTTGCAACATAACTGGTTATACTTATGAGAATTATCAACT